GTACGATTTGTGATCGTTTGACCTTTCTTTTCTTTAATCGGCAAACGTATGGGGAATGTTTTTCCTAGTAGACGTTACGTGAAGGATACATTATTGAGCTAATAAGTTTAAATAAAACGCCTGAGGTTTTCCAGCTAGAGACAGGCACTTGACTTGGCTCTCGGCGCTACATTTGGCTTCTTGTCTGCTATTGGCGGGCTAAACTTCAGAGCATCAGCACATCTTGAAAGATCATTTGGAGGGGAAAAGGCCCCTAGCAACGCTTGCGGCGTCTGCAGAATCTGAATTCAGGGTAAATAAGTAACCACCAACGATCTCAGAAGAATCTTACACTTTTTCAAATTTGTTCCAGCATGAATTAAAGGTGACTGTAAGTCTTTTTATTTTTCACTAAGCATATGTAATTTATCCAGCACATTCAATTATTTTTGCGTTGTCAAATCTTTAGGATCAGCTATTTTTTAGGTATAGTATCGAGGACTTATCCCAATTTGGAGTCTAAGCTAGGTTTCAGCATTCTGTACCAAAGCTATGAATCGGCGTGGCAACCCTAAGTATTTTGTCTACCTTAATTGTTTATAAAAATAAGGATTGTTTTTTCTCACAAATGACTGGTACTGGTGTTTGTCAACGCTGAGATTCGAACCACCGTGTTATCGTACTGGTCACTTATCAGTGTCATGGCAACGCATTCCAAGGGATATATGTTTTAACCACTCCAATTATGTCTCACAAGTTTTATACAGAATTACGAAAATACCAAAGTGTTACCCTAACCCTACGAAGCTGACGTTTAAACAAGAATCGAGGTTCTCATGAATCTAGTTCATAAAAGAAAACCGAGCTCCATGTAAAGATTACTACATGAAAATTAAAAATCGCTTGAGCTATTTCTGCAATGCTATTGGGCATGAATTATGATGAGTCATGGTGACGACATCAGCACAACCGCCGTCGGAGTCACTAGCGGCAGAATAGGCCAAGCGCGGAGACGAACCCATCGTGTTCAGCTTGCATCGATACAAATGTCGCTAATAGCAGTTCAGAATGTCCGTTAGTCGTTTACTAGACACATGGCAGCGTCAGACTAGTGACAGCCGCAGTGGCTTTGCTACTGTCGCCGTCCAACCATTACCACCACTGTCGCCGATACAAGCGACGCCACGCATTTCAATATGCTCAACACGCAACTGCTGAGCTGAAAAAATCGCACTTAGAGAAGTAACTTCGGTTTTCTTCTGTCACCACTGTGGTTGCTAATAGAAAAAAACTGATCAGAAAGTTGACAGCACCATTTATACTACATATGTACATTGCAACGAATGCTATTAGCCCATTCCATGGCGAAGTCCTCAATTATAGAACACGCCCAATGCAACTCGCAAAACTGGCAGGAAATGGGAGTAGGCAAGCGACTGCAGTGCTGGAACAGCCTGGTTTTTTCGAAACATACGTGCACACATACAAAGTTCCTAAACTATCGCTTTAATTCCTTATGCACACTCCATCTATCCACGTTCATTTCGCTTCTCGACGCTCTGTGTAACCAATCTGAAGCCAAGGCAGGCCACTTTTACACTGCATGTTCCCCCCAACTCTATGGGCCAAAAAAAAAATAACAGCAGCGAAGCGTTCGCTCTAAACGAACGTACGGAGCCTTCCATCAGGCTCCGTCGGAGCGTACACATTTTTTTTATAATCCAAACGCATAGCGACCACGCACGCTGGTCCGCCAGTTGTCCAACGTACGAGTTGGCTCATGCGTATGGAAACATTACCGCGGCGGAGGCGATTTAAGGGACAAAACATAAGAAGACCTCGGGCCTCATCGGATGCGGACAGAACAATAGCGGCCGCGGCTACTGCGACCGATCTTACCGCTACCGCTGCCATTGCTGCGGACTAAAAATACTATTCGACAGAATTTTTATAGAGGGCGAATGACGATAGCTTTGTAAAGGGTCTCGACCGCGACGATACGGGCACCACAGTTTTCGACGACCCCCTTTTCTTGTATCCCCAGCGACGTTCTGGCTTGGGGTGAGCCCGTCTTTGCTAGTGAACGAAGCGCACCCGGGCCGTTTCGAGCTCGCCGGTAACACTCGTCTGACGCGCGAACAGGTCCCTCGAAAAACGAATAGTAAATATTGGTTTGTTGTCTGAACGGACCAAGGGGAAAGGACCGGAGGCGAACTATGCTGGCCAGTTGGAGAAAAGTGCGATACAAGGGGACATTTACTTAACGATTTCAAAGAGATACACGAAGAAGACCAGACAATACGAGATATCATTAGGCGATATAAATCTCTCTTATACTTTTATTGTTATTGTAATTGTACTGCTATCGTTAAATGCAACCCATCAAAGCAGGATTTTTTTGCTCTATAACGACACGACGGTTACAACAACTGGGTCCCTCCCACTTTGCTAGAACCGCGAAGAGAAGAACATGCTTATTACGGACATAGCGTAAATCGAAAATGTTAGAATCGTTACTTTGTATGACATGATGTTTTTGGCAGTAGTAATATTTTACAGGATCAGTGGAATAACCTACTTTCGATGCTTCTTTTTTGTTCCTAGCCAACACGAAGCTGTATGTTGTTTCGGACAAAAGTTAATATATATATATATATATGTATATTGCTTCTACTATTCTAATTAATAAACCAAAACTTGAGTGAACGACGGCTATTTCGGGGTAGAAGCCCGAAGTGCGGGAAAAGAATAGGGTGCGGGAGAAAAGAGGAAGAGATAAATATTGAAAGGTGTGGGAGAAATACGTGGGGACTTGACCTGGTTTGCGGCACAGGGACGAAGGCGGTTGTAGCAGCGGTGGGAGACTACGCTGAGCTGACACGGATTTGATCAAAGTGGAGGAGTATGACCCGGAGGGCGAAGAGTGGTAAAGCAGTGGTAAACCACTGACCATTACTCGAAAGACGGCTTTACCACAATAAGCGCTTATATACTATCAAAGTTTGACAGGAGACCTGTAAAGAAGGCTGAAAAGAAACACCTCGCCAGCCCCTTGGAAGAATTTTTGGCCGTCTTCAGATATTCGTAGGAAGCTACTAAGAAACAAATTGTTAAGAAAAACAAAGAATTGACAAACCTGAACATCTGATTCTATTAAATGCCTATTGACATTCTAACGATCGTTGATTAAGCTCCACATGTAATTAACTGAAATTAAATCATAACAGTTTTGTTAACGCCTATTGTCGTTTTCAAAAGCAAAATAAAATGAATTATGCAAGCGAGTTACATCTTTTTAAATCTGACTATGCGTGTTACGTGCATCTTGGCACGTTTTGAAGCATTGTTCCACAAAGGTGTTAGTTCAGTGCAAGTTGCGGCTTTGTCATCATGTCCCGCTTTTAAGACACATTTTTAGAAGGTCCAGTTCTTCTAATCACCAACTGTATATACACTCGTCAGTTTTTAATATTTTACACTTTTTCTTTACCATTTGCAGCAACAAGTAGCTTTTCGCGTCTAGGTTACTTTTTGAACCTGAATCTTATTCCATAAGTAAGGGACCTCTGGGAGTCTCTTTCCACGTAGATGATTCTCAGCTGTCCCTTCTAAAACAGGTATTGCATTGTTATTGAGTGCTATTTCAGGGTTCTGATTTTACACTGGCGTATGCCCTGCTTATTGTTTGGCCTCCAAAGTCATCTTTGCATATCTACAGAAGTAAACTGGCCGTGCCAGATAGATACGCATTCATGTCACCTGTGCTCCACCGCTAAAGTCAAGATTTATTTAAAAGGGTTGCTTTTCAACACCTACCGTCCTAATTGATATAGTTTTAAAGCAGTCCATATGCTATAGGTAACATCTTAACACGGGACCTGCTCGATACAATTTCTTCGTATCGGATGCTGCCACAAAGACATATCGAACCTCCATTTGATACTACACTCTTTTTTCGACTAGATATGAAGACTCAAAAGGACAAAATTAAGTAGTAACAATCACCAAAGTCTCACACAGCAGAAGGAATAACAGTGGCAACCTGCTTTTTTTTTTTTTCGATATTTACAACCTCTTCTCTATTTCCTACTTTTCCTATAAGAAATACCTACTATATACCGGCTAGCATGCAGAACTATCAAACGATAGCGCCTGTTCATGTGTTTGTACCCAGTTCGTAATTCAGTTTAGTATCTGAGGAATGCGACTGTGCAAGACGCTTCGAAAAGGAATTCTCAATATAGTAAACAGACGCAAACGTCTAGTCGTGGAACAGGACTGACTTACTGGATATTAACCCGTATAGACTTTTCTTCCGAGCCTTCTTCCTTAAGGAAGCATTATCACCAATTTACCGATTTCTGCCTCAGTCGTATCATTCCATTATTGGCACTTGATCAATAGGAAAAAAACAACGCTGAAAAAGTAGATAGGAAACAGAATGCCAATCACAGAATGCTCAAGCTTGGCACATTTTTAACTCATCACTGCACAGGTCTAATGGTTTTCAGCCTCAATATCTACTGCATTCAAGCGCTGAGAAAGAAGAGAAGCGTCTTAGAAAAGTTCTCATTTTTACGAACTGACCTTACTCATTGTTAACTTGCGAAAAGCTAACTAGAGATTAAGTAGCCGATTTTCGTTCTGAGTTTCGGAATGCTGAACGTTTGATGGATTTACCTCTACGTGACTGATTTGGTGATACTTAGTGGCCTTCCTATTCATGAAACCTAGTTAGCTGACAGCAAGACGTTAAGTTGCTAGTTTATTTAAGCGTGTTACGCGCCCCAAACCTATCGATATAGATACACATAAACCGAATTCATGCAGATTTTTCGTCCATAGCGATTCGACTGGTATTCAGAGCGCAAAAATGACTGTACAATTTGACAGAACAGATAGGCTGTCACAATAAACATTTTCACTGCATATATATCTGTGAGATATATTTATATCCAAATCATTAAAATGCTTACATTCAACTGAAATGCTCGTTTTAATGAAAACATTTAAAATTTTAAAGTTTTTCGAGCTTTTATTCAACTCTCAACAATCTCAACAATATACAACTGTTTCCTTTGTACATTTAGATAAGCGCTATAATTTGTCCTCAAACGAAAGCTCATCTTTTTATCTACAATAGTATTATAATCTAAGCGCTGCGGATATTAGCAATACAGTGCTACATACGCATAGAGTGTGTATAGTAGAATGCGGAAATCTCGAATGACGGATGATGCATTAATGCATAAAATGCGACCATATACTAGTGTGTCTAATGGGTGCTTGTGTCGTTTGTTCGAATGTTCTGTCTGTTTTTATATCTATGTGTTTAGGTGTTTTTATATCTATGTGTTTTAGTGCTATTTAACATTATATTTTGCTCCGTATTTAGCTATTTTTTCTTTAAGTTTACGTCCATTCAATAAACTCTCCGTTCCTACTAGCTGAACACTTTCTCGATGGCAAAGTAATATCATTAGCACTCTTGGAGTGCACGCCGTCTGTTAGCGTCCATAGACTCTAACGACGGATCAGTATATAAATTTGACTTTTAGCTCTTCAGTATATCTAACTGTGTTCTTTTTTCCTCCGCGTATTATCTCTTCGTAGAACAAATTGTAAAATCTGCCCAAGATGGTATTCGCAAGCGACGCCCGTTTTGTCGACTCGACAGACGTCCGCCAATAATCACATTCTGTTTTATACTTCTATCGGTGCACCACAATTGGTACCTTTCAAGGAGTTCGCATGTTTGCGACGCTTGTAATTGCTTCTTCGTCGACAAATAGCTTTCCAATTTTTTTAGTTCTGTAAAAGGCCGACGCTCACATGCCAATATTCATTGTGCTTACTCTCGATCGCTTAAGTTCTATCTTGATAAATCACATAAAGCATGAGATTTAGTACAAACTAAAACTGAGGATAAATTAACAAGGAAACAAGGAGCTGTCTCAGATAATTAGAAAGAAACGTATCGAATTCTGTTTTGCAAAACAAAACGCGATAACTGCCATCACGATTCAATTAATGAAACTCACCTTGTAATGACTTTATCCACAAGTTAACCATTGAGCACTTCCATTCACAATGGTTGACGCCTAATTTGGCGACAGAGTGTATAAGTAAAGATCGCTACACCGTTAGTTCAAACAACAATCCACATTGATAAATAATAACAGCTATCATTATCAAAAGAACACTTCACATTACGATATAGGTCTACGATACCATACTGATTGACAGATGACTTCGGCCTCGTCGCCTCTTCCGCCCCCAAAGCCTGACGTGCGCAATATCAGATGCTGTATATTGATCTCACATAGTAGAACAATAAGCTATGTAAGCGCAGCATTTTTGGAATCACAATATTGAAGATTGAAGTTTACACATTCTTACAAATGACGAGACACGAAGCAAAGGATCGTATGATGACAGAGATGTTGCATAAAAAAACACAAAAAAAATAAATTTTAGAATGTCCCATTGTCACACACACATACGCCCAAGCCCAGACATACACACACACGGATACACACCCACGCACGCACCCACATCCATATACAACTAAAGCTTCAGATGCTCGACCAACAGATTTCTATGAGGTCATTTAGTCTAAGCTGGCTTGGGTACCTCATAGTAAATGTGTCGTTGTTATAACCACTCAACGCACAGTCTAACCGTTATACGGAGCCGCTGCAAATCGCAAAGAGACTACGCCACGCACATGAATGGTTGGTTCGCTTTATTGATTCAATTCTCGAAACGCTGATAATATATTATTGCGATAATAAAATTGATAAAAATAATAATACTACTAAATGTTTTTATGTTTAACAGCTAAATCGAGCTCAATTAAAGGCAACGCAACTTAATCGAACTGTTGAGAAAGCATAATGTACGGCATGAGCATCCCCCGCCATTGCTGAAAATGGACAAAAACTGACCGTGTTTTTTTGAGACGACGGTTTCCAATACTCTCGATTGACCGATAGTAGCAAATCAGTATAAATGAGTTGCCACCCTATAATCATGGCCTGATATGTCACCATACCATCAATAAGAAGCTTGGCGAATGCTAATAAACAGTGTAATTAATGCCCGGTTTAAGTTACCGCTTTTAAGCAGTTCATTGTTCGTTTCGCCTATAATCGGTTCGTATTGCTTGTTTTACAAAGTAGTACAACACAGTGCTCAGCTTGGCGTGGCTAATAGCAGAGCTATTAGCAAATTAGCGACTTAAACGAAATAAAGCCCAAACGTGTTTGTTACTTAAATGGCCAATTTTCCATCTTAAAGGCGGATTCACCAACAGTTTTTCCATATACTGAATTTTTCCATATATAAGAGAACATGGTTTGAGTATCATTGCGCTGATATCTGATAGATCTCATCAGCGCGCTAAGAAGGTATAGTTAGTTCATTTTATTGCAATGACACTTTCCTGTTCCATACAGGTGGTGGGTGTTCTATGCCTAGCTAAACAATCCAGATCGATCTGACCGCTACTTCGGAGCATGATGATCAGTCGCGGAAAAGATAAATATAGGATTCCGCTAGGATTTGCACAAGACTGTCAGCGTTAGCTCATCGCTTCTTTTCATCGAACAATAATTCCTTAAATGAGATGACAATAATAAGCAGTATGGTATCTAATAGTAATAGTAACAATAACGATATTCCATAGCAGTAGTTAACATCTATTTGGTTAGTCTTAAACGTAAAGGTATAATAATAATTAGGCACCTTCAAGATTGACAAAGGAAGCGTAAACGTCCTACGTGATGGTACGTGGTAGCATTAATTACCAGTTTTTCTTTTTCTAAATTAGACGATCTTTCTCTGTGTTCGTACTTGTAATTCTACAACATCATTGATACTGTATCCAATCAACTTCCGCCTTCTTTTTCGATGAGTTTCGTGAACCGTTCAGTTCGCAACATAAACAGCCTGCACGAAAGGGAACCGGCTCGTCTGACAAAGAAAACAAACCAGTCGCTAGCAGACAACAAAATACAAATTATTTGGCGCGTATTTTGACGGCCGCAGAAAGCACATTTATCTAGCCACTAAATTTTCTTTCTGACCTGATAGCGTTAGATCAAAATCGCCAGCACTGAAATAATCCCTGTGCTGCCCAGCAAAATCGTTCAGCTCACAACATGTACCTAACGCCAGGTGAATGCATTCTTGCAAACTTGATATTTTTGTGAAAATGAGAGTTCCTATATAAGTGCATCTGAATATTCGAATATGTTAGCAATCGGCTTTCTTCATAATTTTTGCGAATCAAAGTACACCTGTATCGAAACGAAACTTGCGCGCCACGGGACAAATGCTTATCATTTACGCTTCGCTTATCACTTCGCTGATGTCAAGTGAACTCAAATAATTTTAATTTATGTAATCTATTAATAGGACCACGGATAATAACAACAATTGACTTCTTTTGTTATCCCCAAAATTACCTCAACAAGCTGCAACTGGATTCAGGGTTTTGAACAATATACTTGTCATACTTAATCCCTATTTTTTGCTCCCTTCAGTGTCAAGCTTCAGTCTTTAATTGGGTTTTGTTGTATAGCATTTTCATCTTTGTTTAAGCACAACTCATGGAAGCGTCATGGCAATAACTAAGTGTCGCCAAAAAACAGCCAAAAGCTGTAGACCAAAAAAAAGCTACTATTTATATTTAGGTGTCATCAGTTGCAATCTGAAGACTCATAGAGATGAGGTTGTGGAAGTAGCAGTAGACCACGAATATACAGTTCAGTGTCGGCATCATCGGTACAGTTGAAGATTGTCGATGATGAAGGCGATAAGCCCTTGCAAACCGAGACCACCGATGATATCTTTCTGGCTGCAGGCGAACGAGCGGCCAAGCAGAATTTAATACATTTACTTAAGCTTCACCTCACTCTCGTCGACAGGCTCGTCTGGCGAAATGAGGTCAAGAAATGAGGGCGTCTGATAAGTGACAACCTGTGAATTGTTACCCCCGCTAGATCCTCCGACATTGGTTACATCCGACGTGAGATTGGGCAACATATCATCGGTACTAAACAGCTGAAAAGCAGAACCGTATATGAAAGCGGAAGAACAATTATGATAGGGTACCACGATAATTATCAGAAGACTAAATGCACTACTGTCTACAATGGTTAACACAGCACAAATGTTAGAATTTAATATTGAAAACTATCACGTCGTCCGTTACTGAAACGACTTGCTGACTTAAATTTGCTAGTTTGAAGATGAATTAATAGGTGGTATATTCGATACTGGAAATTTTATAGGATAAAAATTTGATTATTTTATCTAAAAAAATAGTTACCTTATGCTCGAATAAATGAACGACTATGAAAGTCTATTAAATGATACAGAATAAATTTGAGGTAAAAAATAAAAGCCTCTTGACAGTTCCCTGCCCTCACATCTACACAACTATGTAAACAGTAATTTCCACCTACCCTTTATGGATATAATAACGAAATGACTAAGAATAGGTTTCCCTATAATTCACCAACTTACACCCAACAGCGTGCTGGAATCTATATTAAGTCCTCCTGCGACGATTTGGTCTTGCAACCAGTCTAATTCAGTTTCCACACCGTCACAATGCTCACTTAGACTTTCCCTGCAAACAAACAATCAAACATAATCTCACGAACGTGAGCACGCCAGGATAACATAAACGTACACCACTGAACATGGCAGCTCTCTCAATTTTACGTAGAGCTTTAGCGTACCTCGTAAGTAACCTCTATAAACATTGTGGCTAATGGAATAGGAGTCAGTTCATGGGCTTTCTTGCTTCTTGAAAAAATTCGGTCACAAGTTGTTACCGAAGTTGTGCTCTGCCATCGTATCCCTCTTCGAAAAAGAGGAGATGTGCATGCGCACAAGCTCCTGCAGAAGGTACGCCCAGCTGAACACATAACGTTATAATTTCCACTCACCTATTGTTAATGTAGTAACCTAAGTAGGGCAAAAACAAAAAACTGTCTTTAAAAATGTTCATATGACTGTCATTATGATTCTTCGACAAGTTTTTGCGTGTGCGCATCGTATAACTTCATAAAAGGCACATAACATCATCGATTTTTTGCGAATTTACCGAAATCCGATTATGAACCTTTCAGAGTTAAGATCATGCAATTTGGTTTGATTACCTATGAAAAGAAAACATGTTTATTTTTGCAGCTTATTGGCTTTTCTGTTCTATATCAGGCCACTTATTCGCTTGTTGTTTCGTACTAAGATAGCGGGGCTCGGTTAACAAAGTACGCGTTTACTTCATCACTTATATTGAGCATTGCGATCTAGAAAGGTGCTAGCAAACTGTTTATGACCAACGTGTATTTTTCGTTGACAACGTGAGGTTTTCCGGTCGGAGGTCCTGCGAAATGTTGATCGGTAGTTTCGCTTGTGGAACCTGCGGCGCTTTTAAGGTGGCCGGCCAGGCCTCCTAGAACGCCCGTACCATTTCCGCGACCAACAGCTGGGGGTAGCAGGACGGCCGCTTTCGGCAAGCCTCCGCTAGCGTTCATGCGCAGATTACAGAGCAGATATCGCAAAGACACCATTGCCACGATTTATTTTAAAACAAATCAAGACAGGACTGGTTAACGGAAGGGATTTCCGGACACCAGTGGGCAGTGCATCGCACCGATAAAAAAAAAGGGTCTAGATATTGCTTCGCCTCGCCAAGGTATAATTGTATTAGTCAGATTAATGATTGGTATTGGATAGTAAGCATAAACAAAAGTTAAAAAAACATTCAAAAAAGATTTTTATTACTCTTTCAGACCGATGAAAACCTTACTTTTGACTAACAGCTGTGAGTTTTCCATCTACATCGGCCGCGTTCGATACTTTTAGAGGATTCTGGATTGCCACCTCCATGCCTTTGCCGTTATTGCCGCTAGCGTTGACCGACGTTCTGCTCGGGCCTGGCTCAGAATCAGACCATTCCACTACTGGCGTATTCAACACTGAAAGCGAAGGTGGCGGTGATGAGGATATAACTTCTTCCTCTTCGAAAGGAACATTAAGGACATCCTCAAGGTTGGCGTCTATGGTCCTGCCAGCCGTGTCACCGGAAGCTGTCGAGGCCGTTGATTTTACCGCAGCATTAGCTGTTCTTGCAGTCGCAACTGCAGTTGACGAAGGCTCATTCAGAACTAGTGCGGTTGAAGGAGCAGTCGAGTCTGTGTCAGCTGGGAGCTGCGCATCAGCCAAGGAAGGTGATAGAACAATGTCGCTGTCGAATAGATTATCACACAACTGCACTTCGTCGGCCGCATCGCAGAGGGCAGTGTCGATCGATGCTGGAGACGTTATCAGCATCTCCTGAAAAATTTAAGAAAACAGGGTTGACAAGGCTCAATAAAGGTCTCTGGAAGGTATAACAGTGGGAGAGAAGTTAAAAATAAATTCAATAAAAAAATAAATTAATAAAAATTGAACGACAGTCTTAATAATGTGACCAAAACATTCAACCAGTACACTGGTCCATTAAATTCTGTACTTAGTGAGTTAGTCTATTTTGTTAGGATAACAAATACAAGTCTTGGGGCATTGCACAGTTACTTCCTGTACCTCTCTCTCTCTCTCTCTCTCTCTCTCTCATATATATATATATTATATATATATATATATAGTTGCGTTTTTGGGCACAACATTGTAAGCCTGGTAGTACAATATAACCTATAGCTTAACAAAACACAGATAGATTTAACGTACCATTTGCGTAGAGGGCATTACTTTGCCTTGGGATACTCGGAGCTGCTTGCTGTCTTTACTGGATTCCATGGCTTGAGTGGAAATAATACCAAGGCCATTACCGGTACGCACGGCTACTGGAGAGTTGTGATCATTTGTGACGTCTTTGACGATCGGTTCATCCTCGCAGTCGATCTCAGTTATACCAGAGTCCGTTGGCATTGCCTGAAAGTAAAAGATTATAGACATTTTAACGTTAGTTTTCTATGTTCATATATATTTCCAAACAAACAGCAAAAATACAAAGGTAATCTTTAGATTGACAAGAAATCACCCCAACCACGTCCAAGCGTCAGGATGTTTGGTCTGTTCAACAAAAGAACTAGAAATATAAGAAATCTGTGAAGAATTGGAAGATCGTATAAATTGCCGCAACCTTCTTTTCAATCACTAGCAATTTGTGCTGTTTTTACCTTGGATCGAACTGGCCCTTGAAATGTTTTGCGAACTTTGCCACCTTCGTCAATCATCAACGTATGCTTTCGTTTCATTGAAATGTTATTGTCCTTCGGTCCTCCTCGGGCCTGATGGACCAGCGTTACGAGGAAACGAATGAGTTTTTCAACAATCTGCTGCTGCTCCCGATGCTTCCGCCGAAGAAAAGCGACTTCCCGCCATAAAGCCTCATTTTCACGTTTCATCATAATGAGCTGTGAATCCAACTGTTCTTGTTTTCCCTGTAACATGGAGAAGCGTAAGAGCCAATCGAACCATCGAAAGACGTGAATATGTAAACCTATAAAGTCTGCGTGTGGCCACTCGTATTTGGAGCATGAGATTTAAGCTCAACCAAGAGAGACATCACTACGAATACGACATATGGGTTTGTCTGCAGCACGACTACATGTTCAATGCGAGATACGGAGTTCAGTATATGCAAAAAATAAAAAATGTAACGGTTATGTCTTCCGTTTACTTGAATTTGGTTGACGTCCGTAAGCAACTCGCGAACCAGCTCGTTTCGAAGCTCATCCCCCCCGCCGGAAGCATTAGTTCCTGCAGTGTTTCCGTTCCCTGGGCCAGTCTATGAATGTGTATGAAAAGAAAGTAATAGAAATAGTTAATTCAATTTTTTTACTCGTATAAATCAGTCGCTAGGGAACGCACGATGACATGATTAGACGAATATCACTATCCTTTATAGTTCGTTTAGAAATAGCAATTATACATATAAAATTATTTGAAAATAACGGTTTCTAGACGCTGTCGGTGTCTGTTTTTTGTTTCAAACGTAGCGCGATTTTAGAAGACGACGGAAAAGGAAGAACACGTTATGCTTAATTCTGAAAATTCTACGCGCACACTTGCTATCAGCAATTGACCATACTTTACAGCTAGCGATCAAATACGACAGAATATGCAACGGGACGTACCAACGTGTGTCCCAAAAAAATGTATACACTGTTTAACGAGTTATAACTTTCCGATTGTTTTTTTTGTCTGAGTGTAATTAATTGGAAAATAATGAATGGACAAGAGTTAACTTTGAACAAGTAAAATTTGTTTTTAATACTATCGGAGGTATAAAAATGTAGCAGAAGTACAAAGACAATATAGCAGGGAGTTTCAGGCAAATCCATCCACGCGGCTTACAACTACTCGGATAAAAGATAAGTTTGAAATAGACGGAATTGTTCCAGATGTTCATATACAACGTTCCGGAAGACGAAAAACGTCAACGAGCTTCACCAGCCAAGCAAGTGTACTGGAAAGTTATTGTAAGACAATCAAGTCGTAAGCTTGGCATTAACAAATCAGGCGTCCATCGCATTTTAAGACGTTGTAAATGGAAAAGTTACATTCCAACAATGGTACATGCTATCAATGAAGATGATCCGGCTCGAAGAAAACAATTTTGCTAATAATACTTGGAAAAATTAGAGTAAGATGCACAGTTTTCGCGAAAGATTGTTTGGAGCGATGAGGCTACATTCAATGGCATAATTAATCGACATACTTCACTTATAGGACAACTGTAAATTGACGTGTTACGCAGAAACACCAGTAAATTTACCAGAAATTAAAGTGTGGCTGGTATTTCAAGCAAAGGACTTTGGACCTTTTTTTGACAGTGTAGTGACTGGTGCCAAATACTTGAATTTACTGCAAGAGCTGTTTTACCACACATTAAGGAGGACTTTGTGGAGACGGCGCATTTTATTTCCAGCAGGACGGAGTTCCTGCACATTATCATCGTGACGTAAGAGCATATCTTGACGAGAATCTTCCAAACAGATGGGTTGGACGAGGACGTTCCATAGAACACCCTGCCTGTTCCTAGACCCGATGGCAATGGACTTTTCTTGTGGGGATACCTTAAAGATAAAGTCTATGCCAGAAAATCGACGACACTGGAAAATTTAAAAGCCATAATTGAGCAAGAGTGCGCCACACCACCAAATAAAATGTTTGTTGACGCTTGTCAATCAATACCCCACCGTTATCAAAAGTGCATTGACCAAAACAATAATAACTTTGAGCAGCCGCAATATGAGGAAAAATTACACATTTTATGTAAACTCTTTCACAATTTAAATATTAATTATATGTAAGTAAAGACTGAAGTTAGTACTACTCAAGCCGTGTATACATTTTTCAGGACACTCTGTTTAAATACTTATACAAGAGCTTATTTGATGTGGTTAAACTTACCCTCGTATGTGAGGTTGCCTTCCTTTTAATAAACTCCAACATGGATTCTTGGTCGCGTACGAAGAAGTTGTGATAGAACTCAATATCGTCTTTGGTGCCCTTTAAACCGCCACTGTCGATATTTACCATTTTCCGAAATCCATCTGAAGTAAAAACACGAAAATGCAAGGCTCGTAAATGGAGACAAATTTTTTCAGCAAAGATGGGAAATGATTTCATTTGTAGCAGTACTAATAATTAAGAGGCCTATAACTCATTTGAAGCAAAACGATAGAGGTTACATACGCTAATTTTTATGAAAGCGAAAAAGATGTGACCAACATGCAAGTAAAATTAGATCTGCTTTAGTGGCATAGATGATGACGCAAGGCTCTGACTCATCCCCAACATGACCTTAAAGACATAAGGCACGAAAAAGATGTGGTTTAGAGCAAAAATCAAAAATTGACATATAGTCTTTAGCTGCCCGACTACAGGAATACATGGTTTTTTTGACAAGCAGGGAAAAGAAATGAGAAAAAACTGGGCCGGGAAAAAGGCCAGTAAGACATGACCCTCTTAACGTCAACCTTTAGTTCATATTCATGAGAAATTAACAGTCACTGACAGATTTGATGAAGACGCACTCAAGACATTAAACTTTGAAAAAATATTGATTGACAAAAGGCATCGTGACTCGTAGATAGGTCTACAACAAAGCAAGGACAAAATACATTTACACTTGAAAAAAGGTATGGCTACTACTTCAACAAAAGGAGCGAAACTCACAAAGATGTCAACAAAAGCAAAAGTAGAAAGCATAAAGAAGTATGAAAAAATGTGGAGAACAAAATGCGGGATAGGCCCTACGTGATCATCATCGGTAAACTGACCAAATCATCATCACCGTTGCCGTCACCAAGCTGTTTTCTAGTTACTGAACACCAGCTCTCCAATGGACAATGTGAAAAGATTAAGGGTTCCCTGAAGCCGTAAGAAGAGGATCGAGCCGATGATGAAAAGGCTTCTTAACAATAAAGCGTATGAACTGAAGAGAAGGTCGAAGCGGTGGAGGTCCTCCCTTACGAGAAGCTGAAAGCCTTCTAGATTTATAATAAGCAAGATATGACAAGAGAGATGGTACCCTTTGAAACAAAAAAACGGCCACTTTGGCTTCCAGTTGAAGATCTGGTGAGCCTCTCTCACAATACATCGTGTTATCTGTACACTAGGTATCGTTGGGATGGCTCTTAGCGGCATCCTACATAGTAGACTGACGGCGCTTTCAAATCCCTAGCTCAGAATGGTTCATGCTCTATACTCAAAGACTGATCGCACCCCACGTTAGTAACAGGGCCATCGCGGATTCGTGGAAAGAGAGAATTTGTCATACCAGCCAAAGTATTCTAGAAATTGATAATGGATGTGCACGTAAAGGAGCGAAGCGGAAATACTAATCAAAAGCAAAACCAATTAATCTATCTACTAGACGTTGGGGTTGATTGAACAATCACAAAAGGCCCCCACATTGATAAAATAGCTAAGAAAGAACGTAACGGAAGTGGGGAGTAATTTAGCAGAAATCTCGCCGATAGTAGGGGCAGAAAAGCAGAAGCAAGATTAGCCACATCTATCGTGCTACCCACAGTACGCGCGTAAGGGCCCATTGCGATAAGACAAAAGAAAAACCATGTCAGGGCGATGAAAGTGCAAAGACTCCTAGTAATACGAAAGTCATCAGAGAAATCTATGCTGTAATAGTCTTTTCATGACTAATACGGTGGCTAAGACTCATCAAAGGAAGCACCAAATTTTAGAATGCTTTAGCATTAAATAAAAAAGGAACAGGAGACTAAACTACGATGGATTGGAGTGGAACACCTTACCAGAGGGAACGGAGGCAGACCTGTCGCTTTATACCTGTTTTGATCAAACAGTTTAACAGAAATCATCAGCCATCACTAACTATCCAGCGTAAATCCTAATTAGGTACCGAGGTTTGCAAAAATATTTGAGACTACAGAAAGGAAGCGGGAAAGAGGAACGGGCCTAACGAAGAGAAATACGACTGCTAACCAACTTAAAATGATCGAACTCAAAAATCGATGACAATGCCCGGGCCCCCAACCCACCCAAAATAATCCAAATTATTTTAGCTGGACGTAGGAAGGTCGTACGAACAGGTTCCGTACTTCCGTGTAACCACCTATATCCGTGAGATCCAGAATTAACGCATACAACATTACATATCTGAGAAAAGTTAATAGCAATAATAACCTAGAATGACATGTAGGCTTCGACTTTAATTGAATTACCGTTAATTTAATTAATATGATTTGCTGTAGCAGCCTAGCGTAGATCATACAAAGTCACAGTTATTATTTTGCGAATTGTCTTTCTGCAGTTTTTGCAACTGTCCCGTTCTCATATCTGAATGTTGTAACAATTCTCGTCGTAGTTTTTCTATTTGCCTGTTTTAATTGATGCTACACTTGATCTAACGGCGTGCTGCTGCCACCTAATCACTCTGTTAACTTTACAGTTATCCTACAATACTTTAATGATCGGTTATATTCAACCTTACTTATATCTCTTTTACAGCTACTTTGCTGTAGTCATCAAAATAAAATATTCTATTAGCATTATTACTTGCTGAAATTACCCCGTTTTTCTATGTCACAACACACAGCATCTTTATAAATCGATTTATGATGTATTCGCCCTCATCCTCTACGACTTTCTTACATCTTGGAACTAACGTTTATGACTCCGGACCCTCAAACATCTCTGATACGGTGTTAAAAATTTGTTTTTTAGAATCCCTTTCATTATCGTTACAAACTGCATTCACCAGTGTCGGGAAAGGTAGTAAGCCAAGTCTGGAGAATATAGTCGGTGCAGTGGAACGGCCTACTTATGCGCTCGCAAAGCACTTTAGCCTGGCGCTGTAGTTTTGTCCATTGCGTTTTTCTGTTGCCACAACTAAACTGCATATGCAAACATTTGCAAATGTAATAGTTAAAAACTAAACAAAAAAGTGCATTACAATGTTGGCCTTTAAAGTCTGAATCAAAATAGAATTACGCACACTTCAGAACGATTATTAGCTTGTAGAACAGAAAATGCGTTTCTAAGCAGCATTCAGAATAGTAGTAAAGAAACGGTAAGAAGCTCGAAGAGACAGGCGTCGTTTTAAAGATGCGGCTATCACTATGTTCCAACCTAATCGTAATAACAGTGGTTGTATTAAAAAAAATTTAGGACTTACACATATTTAACTGCCGAATAAACGATGCCATATTGTTGTGCTTGAAGAAATTTGGAAGGACATCCTTTGCAAAACGGTTCTGGTTGTGGATAATGAAACTTTGTCCCGTCTGAAAGTGCCAATGAAAATATCGAATTGTTAATCCATACTCTATCGCAGATCGTCAGGGTAAAAAGATAGAAAAAATTTTATCAGATCTTCCTGAAGGTAATAAATAATACCTGGGAAGAAACAGCCTACTTTTAAACCATTTTTATTAATTCGATGCCCTGCATCAAAAATAAGCAAAAATAAATTCACATTATGCTTTTATTTTGCTGTATGATTACTGCACATAGTTGTTTATACTTATTATTTCACGAAAATAAGCATATTATTAATTGCCAAAACCATAATATTCATTGTCATGAGTCAGCGCCAGATGCATTTCCTAAATAACAAGTACAAAATAAATTCAACCTCGGTAAATATTCTACTGAGTCAAAAAGGTATGGGGAATCCGCTCTGCCCAATTCGGCACGCTTAAGGAAGAGAAGGCTAAATCAGAGGAGGCTAAATGTGGTAAAAAGGAAAGCTAAGGCGACATCGACTTTTTCTGCAAGAATATATCGAAAAGGTAGGGAAAGTGAGTGCTGGTGCATTATTGCTTATTTACGCTTTGTTTTTCTAAAAATCAGGCCTGTTTTGATAGAGAGCGTTACGTAAGCGATATTCAGGCGATTCGGCTTTTGTCATGCCATAACCTTAATATTGCGTTTGAGCAAATCTATTTTTTCTTTGACTGCGTTAAGGTGTTTTTGGGGCAATTCCTTAGCGTTCTCATTTCCAATAAAGATGTTTTTGAGGCAGTTCTTTAGCTTTCTCATTTCCAATAAGCACATCTAAAATTACCCGGTATGACCTACATGAAATCGTTCTAAAATCAGATAGCAGGCACGAAAGCGAGTGTGACGCCATTTTCGGCCTTTAGCCAAAAACGAACGGACATTTTATCAATATTTTTTTTGAAAAAGCAGTGCTTCTATTCTGTTATGAGCAAGAGCATTTAATATTGTTCAAACGACTATAATGTTATAGTAGTCGTTTTTAAAAACGGGGTAAAAGTAAGTAGCTAAAACCATGCTATTTTTAATGGAAATTCCTAACTGAGTTCTAAATTATTGTCTCAATGGTTTATTACCTAATAAAATTAGCCCCACTTCAAATATTTGGACATCTCCTCTGAATTCGATTGGACGTGAGACACGGATACGCTAAAAACATGAAAGAATAGCGGGTCATATGAAGTAGCTCAGAACCTCGACCAATACAGACGTACAGAAAAATGATGAAATTTGAGTTTTACTTATTCGCCAACTCTACGAAATTCAATGGATGTTGTCACATTTCGAATGGAGGGCTCTGCAATTTTCTTTGACCAAATTATTTGCATTTGCAAATAAAAATTCTAAAAAATACTTGCAACAACAATATTTTACAGAATCTTCACATATATCGCTTTGTTTATCTTTATCCTTCAGATTTCTATTTGACCAGTTTTCAGGGTCCATGTATAATTGTCTCCATAACTGGGTAAAAGCAGCTATCGCCCTTTATTGAGCCACTAACAAAAACGTAGGCGCTCTTTCGAATAACAACTGCTAATGTTTACAGATATTTAGTATCTGTTTAATATCTTTTTTTAAGATCATTTACCGGGTACCAGCTAATATGTAGCTTTGTCTTAACAATAATTAAATCAGATTAATCTTAATCCAAACTCTAATCACGAATCTACTTTCTATGAGCCATACGTACGTAAAAGCCACGTATCAGCGGTTAGTTTGGGTTCTGTTAAATAATTATTCCACAACTTAACGATTGACCTGCCATAAATTATGGGAAATAGAAGAGCTAGGCAAACTACATATGCATACTAATAAAATCGAATAATTTTATGACAGTGAAATGATATGTCGCTGTTGGGGATGAGAGATGAGATTAAGTGATAGTACAACTGTTCCGAGCTAGTAGCATCCCTTCCAATAATACGCAAGCAAATCATTTACACCTGTGCCTATCTCAATGATGCAACTTGCAACAGACGTTCCTCATGAGCCTTCGATCGCTAACCTCGCCGCCGCTCGAACTTTCACCTAACAACAAGGGCTTATCACAACAGCTTTATTTATCGAACACTCGCTGCGTTGTTACATAATAGACAGCCAAGGGGCCGCCACCGGAGCCCAAGGCAAATAGAGCCCTGACAGCGCTAATATAATTTCTACGGTAACTCGACTTCGTTATTGGGGCTGCTGCTGCTACTGTTCGTTCAGGACGCAGCTGTCGCCGAAGATACAGGGTCAAGTAACGTTTTTAATTCTCGAGCAACAAAATGCCAACTCGCCTAAACCCAAAGTCTGTCGACCAATCAAACCGGTGTTGTGAATCATAATAACCTGTAATCTAATGAACAACATCGCACCACGGGTATGAATTCGAACAGTAGAATGTAACACACTGTGCGCAGGTATTCTCATTGACCCAACATGAATGTCTGTTATGTAAGAAAAACAAAACGGAGCTAAAGACAATCGCCGTACTAACAACTGAATATTATATGTGCTATTAACTGTTTACGTTATTAAGGAAAGCTCAGCTTCTCATGAACTTAGCCTTAAAAATATTGTGACTTTAGTCGGGGCCCTTTAACGTAGTGTAAGCAAAGAAAATAGTTACGACTAATAACGCAAAACATCCTTGCGTTGTAGTTATTTTCCTATTTTGCATGGTAACTAATGGATAGTTAGTATCAATCAATGGTTGTCAATCATTGGCTCAGTTATATCGAATGTTAGCAACCAAAACAGTCAACTGCCAATAGCGGAATAAAAAATTAAACCTCCCACT